TGAAATTGCATACTCATAGTATTGGGGGACTTTTATAACTATGCAATAAGGGCCTCAGGACCTCTGTGAGCAGAGAGGGACATTCTCACAGTGGCACTGCTGGGCACAGGTAGGCAGCGTTGGCTTGATAGTGATCCCTTCTTGATTCCCATTCAAGAAAAGGCTCACAGAGGACCAGCATGTTGGGTAATAGTCTAGTTCCTTTTGGGATTGGCCAATACCTTCTATATTAACCCCCCAAAAAAGTGAACAGATTTGTTCAGATATCTTTCTGTTGCTAAGGTAAATGATTATCCCAAAGGATGATATCAACCAATATTAGAGGTAAAGCTCTTGAGTGTGCAGAGATCCCTACCTACCATATGTTGAAGGAAGTGGGAATATTTTGTGTGCTTCATTAAGCCCAGGTTCTCAGAGTGAGGAAAGTCAGGAGGCTAAGGTCTCTCTAAGCTGGATTTACTGGTGCTGGCTACCAAGCTAAGTCAGGCGCCACATCTGAATGTGTTCTGTAGAAATCTGCACTGATTACCGTATGCCAGAAAGAACAGTCGAACAAATACATACACATACACATATGCATCTCCAAGTCACAAAGGACAAATTTTTTTTCTAGCTGTTGCTAATTAGATAATAATTTGAACCCTGATAGAAACTCTTTGTATTAGAAAGATAGAGGCTCTATAAACTGTAAAAGATGGATTGGTGTCATGGTTGAGATCCTGCATATGCCCATCCCCTTCCATTACTGAAACAAATGTCTGAGACAAATCAACATGGGAAGAGGTCAGGCTTACTTTGGCTTAGAGTTTTGGAGGTTTCACTTCATGGCATATGGGTCCTGTTGCTTGGGTCCTTGGTGGCAGAGAGCACCATGGTGGGAGCACATGGCAGAGGGAAACCATTCCCCTCAAGGTGACTGGGGAGCCAAAGAGAAAAGGAGGAAGGGGCAGGGCTCCATTATCCCTTTCAAGGGCACATCCGCAGTGACCCAAGACTTCCCAGGAGGCCCCTCCTCACGGTTCCACCATCTCCCGGTGGTACCAGTCTGGGGACTAAGCCTTGTACACATGGGTCTTTGGGGAATATCCCAAACTATAGCACTGTGATTCCAGACATGGGTGACCTCGCCGAGTTAGCTCAGTATGTGACCATCTCAGGGCAGCCAAATGACGCAGCCGGTAGAGGCTACGAATTATTTTTTTTTATTATTTTTATTTTTTAAGAGAGAGAGACAGAGAGAGAGAGAGAGAGAGAGAGAGAGAAGAGAGAGAGAGAATTTTTAATATTTATTTTTTAGTTCTCAGTGGACACAACATCTTTGTTGGTATGTGGTGCTGAGGATGGAACCCGGGCCGCACGCATGCCAGGCGAGCGCGCTACCGCTTGAGCCACATGCCCAGCCCAAAGAGTCTCCGAATTATAACTTACAAAGTTGTAGTTAGTTTTTACCTCCAGAGTGGTTCTTTTGTCTTTTTGTCCTAATAGTGCTCTCTGTTCCTGTTCTAATAAATTAATATCAATACTAAAATCAAATCTTGATTGAGCATGTACTATACATAAAATAGAGTATGGAAGTGGGTCACTGGATTTTGCTTCTATAGAATAACCCGTCAGCATTGGCTTTCCTGGATTACATTATTAACGGTTACCAGGTCTCTGAATAACTGACTTTCAAAAATCTCTGATTAAAAGAAGTAGGAGTAACTACAAAGGAGGGAGGTTTTGTTGTTGCTTTTTGTTTGTTTGTTTTGGGTGGTGCTGGGGATTGAACCCATGGCCTTGTGCATGATGAGCAAGTACTCTACCCACTGAGCTATATCCCCAGCCCCAAGCTTATTTCTTAAAAGTAAACTTCTCTTTGTTTTACAGATCAGTTATCTTTCTTACAGTCACTCCAGAGGAATTATTTGCTATTAATCATAAAATGTTAATCCTTTTCCTGAGTTCGATTATGTCAAGTTAGATATAACTAGTGTGCGTTCGTAGGTTTTTTTTCAGATACAAAGGAGATGTCAGTTAAAGCTACAGAAAGACTATGGAAGCCGGTAAGTGCATCAAAGAAGAAGGTGAAGCATTCTCTAGGAGTGACAAAATAAAAACAATGTGTGGCATGGTTGAGGAATTAAACATTTGAACAAAGGGAAGCACCAAACTATTTAACTGTCCTGGTTACCTATTGCCATATAATAAACCACCCCCAGCCTCAGTGATATAAAAACAAGAAGGGTCGTTCCCTTGTGCTCACTGTCTATGGGTCAGCAACCCTTAGGTGCAAGGCACAGCTGCCCCCTGCCCTTCAGTGTCTGCTGTGGACTCATCCAGGAGGATTAGGATGGCTGGGGATGACGCTGGCTTGGTGGCCTGAACAGATAGGGCTGGAAGACACTTTCAAGATGGCATCTCAGCGTGGCCTCCTCGTCCTGTCACACTACCAGGTGGAAGCTGCATGTCCTCCCTTGGCCTTGCTCAGGAAGTTATGTCACATTGCTTCTTCCCCATCCTGTGGATTCCAGGTAAGTCACCAAGGCCAACCCAGAGTTGATGGCAAGGAGCTGAGGACTACCCCCCCCCCCGCACCTTTGTTGAGAACCAAAAAAGTACCTGGTGCCATCTTTAAATCTGCCACAGTAAGAAAGTTTCTCTTTCCTAAATTCACCTTGCCTTTAGTGACATTTTCACTCCAATATCGAATTTGTAAAAAAAAAAACAAAAAAACAAAAAAACAGTTCTCTTCTGCTTTCTTTAGGTCTATTTTCCCATTTTTGAAGGGTAGGAATAAGTGTGTTGCATTATGAGTGGCAGAGCCCCCGGATATATCTGCAAGAGGTTACTGCTGATATAGTACTAATTGCTGGTAATAGTGAAACAGAGATCCGAGTGTCAGTAGGATTATGTTAAATAGTTATTACACATAACTCATCAGCCACTTTTTAAGAGACTGACACTTTTTCTAAATGACACTTTTCTAAATGAGAACCAATATTACAGGCATGAGGATGTAGGACCGGAAAGCCAGAGGCTCCRAGATCGATCCATGCCCTCCCGTAATCCCCGTTAGGTGCTTGGGAAAGTGACGTGATTTCCTTATATCAGTGTCCTCGTCTGTGGAGTTGGGACTGGGTGATCTCAAGAGTGCTTTTCTCCCTTTTCTCTTATAACTAGAAGAGCATTATGATTTCAGCTTAAGTTGCTCCTACACCTCTTCTAACAGAGCAGTTCTTGAAGTATGAAAAGAAGATAGGAAAAATAATTAGGCATGCATTCCTTTGCTAACCTACTTTCTCTTACAGAAGCTCTTGTAACACTTTGTATTTCCATGTATTTTTCCACAGAACAAAATGTCTAAAGTAGGAGAAGGAAGACTTGAGAAASAGTCTGGAAGAGAAGGTATTCTGGGGCCACCAGGTGAAGATGTGGAGTCTGGAGAATGCTGCCCGGCCATCCTGAGAAACATCCAAAAGGATATCTGTCGGGGAGATGGCGGTCATGGCCAGCATCTCTYCCCACCCCGGGAAGCTCACCTGATACCTCCACTACGCACTCGGCTGCCTTTGAGCAGCAGCTTACGTGGSAGCCACCTCCCACTGCCTTGGGTGAGTACGCACGTGGGTGCTCTCAGGGGACATCTGTGCTTGCTCAAGGAAGGCTGAAGAGCCATGCTGTGTTTGTCTAGGGTGACAGGCAGCCTTGCCKAACGGAGAGACCCATCAATAATCTATGGCTCAGTGGAGAAAGAACCCCATGAATAAGAAATGCTGCTGTTTGGAGAAGCCTCGCCAACCATGCCCTGGTTCCAGGGAAACAGAATATGCTCGGGGTGACACAGCGCTCTCTGAACTTTCCAGTTACGTCACCAGATAGCTTAGATCAGGAGCAATTTTAGAAGATGCATTCAACATGCTAATGCCCTTTCGGCCAGCTTGATTCCTTTGGGTCAAAGTCTGGTCAGAAACACACTTGACCAGAAGTTTGCTTATGGGTTTGCCTTTAAGACTGGTCAAGGACACTGAATTATTTTTGGCACACTCAGCTCCACATCAGGTCACTGTGTAAGTATAGAAATGTCTATCTGGGTGGTTTTAGATCCAATATGGAAGACTGAAAAATCAACATAATTCCCAAATATATTTTCGATTCCATTTAAAGCTCACTATCTTCTAGGTCTGTCTAGTTCTTCTTTATGGTAACATTTAATTATTAATCCTTCCTTACTTTTAGGATCTAATTTAAGAGTGCATTAATAGATTGCTCACTAGGGAGTTTGCCAAAATCATGGCTGGACGGAGTCGTCAGCGTGTGAGGGTTGAGTGTGTGGATTTGGAGGCAGGTCGACCTGTGACGGAGTCTGGGCTYCCCCACTCACCAACTGCCTGACCTTAGGCAGATTTTGTCTCCTTCTTCATAAGAGGAGGCCGTCTCGTAAAGTCCGCAAGCACAGAGCAAGGCGAGTCATGAATTTTCAATAAAGGTCAGGCATTTTTAATTGTTTTTCTTAGTTGTTCATCCAACAAATGTTCGTGTTTTGTAGGGGCTAGTGATTGGGCACAGGGTAGTAGGAAATATACAGTGTGGGCACTCTTAGGGCTTCTATTCTGGAAGTAGGGTAGACCAAAAACAAAAGTAAGTATTATTTTCTGGGTTGGGTTAAAAACTAATAAAAAAAAAAAAGTAGGTAAGGCTAGAGAATGCTAGAGGAGGTAGGGAGGGGTGCCGGCACTGCCTCAGGTTTTCTGATGACATTTAAACTGGGGACAAAAAAAAAACAGTAAGGAAAGAAGCCAGGTCACAGAGATCATTTCAGGCACAGGGAACTGCTTGTGCCAAGGCTCAGGGGCAGGAGTGTGCCTGGAGTGTTCAGGAAGAGCAAGAAAGAAAGTACAGCCGGAGTGGAGAAAGCAGGGGGAGGGGAGGGGGGCGTGTTAGGGAGGAGGCGGGGAGCAGAACACGTGGAACCTTGGGGGCCGTGACAAGGACTCGGGATTTTACGGCCAGTGAGACAGGGAGCCACCAACAGGTTTTGAGCTCAGGAGGATCATGATATGATGGTGTTTGGATGGGATTCCTCTGCCTGCACCGAGAAGCGTAGACTGCGGGGGTGGGGGATGGGGGGAAGACAGGGAACAGGAAGCCAGGTAGATTGCACCTGCATTCACCTGTGAAATAGAGGACAGTGGTTTGGACAAGAATGGTCATAATAAAGAGGTGAGAAAAGGTCATATTTTGCATGTATTTTAATGACAGAGGCAGTAGGATTTTTAGGTAAGGTGGGGTTTGAGAAACAGAAAGAACCCAAAGATGACTCCAAGCCTGCGTAGCAGACACTACAGTTCTATTTATCACAATGACAGACAGGGACTCGGTAGTCGATTTGGCCATATAGAGGATGAGGGGGAAAGAAACTGAAGATTCTGATTTGGGTACAGTAACTTTGAAGTGCCTATTAACTACCTGGAAGAAGATGCCAAGGGTCAGTTTGATACACTGGTCTAGAGCTCAGCAGATATCAGGGTCTGAGACAAAACAGTGAGAACTCACCAATATGGCTGGCTCTGCTGCAGCTGGGTAGGCCTGTACTTCCTCCAAGTTAGGCATAGCCATGTGACATGCCTTAGCCAGTGAAATGAGAGCAGAAGTGACGGACAGCTCAAGGCTTAATCTTTAACAGTATGATTCACTATGTCCTGTTTTCCTGGCCAGGTGATGGAGGTGTAGGCCCTGAGTGACCAAGTGAGCAGATGTCCTTGCTGATTTGTGATGGACATTTCAAAGTGAAAGACACAAAATGTGTGCTGCTCCAAATCACTGAGCTTGGAAGGAAGTGTGCAGAAAGCTCCAGCCTATTCTGACAATTGGGTATGACGTGCAGACACAGATGGATTTGAAACCCACGAACCAGATGAGGTCACCTTCAGCACAAGTGTTAATGACAACCAGGAGGGGCTTGAGGGCTGAGCTTGGATAAGGAGAAGAAAGGAAGTCCAAGGGAAGGAGACTGTTAAGGACTTAATGTTTGGTCCCCACAAAATTCGTGTCATTCGTTGCCTTGATCACCTACCTGAAGAGTATATTTACTGGCTGATTGATTTCAAGTCTTCCCTGTTCCCAGAATCATAGTTTCATGAGGACCAGAACGTTATGCTTTGAGGAGGGAGAAGAAGCTCTATAATGAAGACCTAGGAGTGTGGGTGACTTAAGAGAACCAGACCTTTGGACAGCTCACAAGGCCCAGAAGCCTCACGGTCATGAATTAAAACACCACCTATTTAGAAACGTGCCACTCTGTAGAATTGTTCTGTCTTGTTTCTGCACAGTCACAAGAGGTTAGGAGAAGAAAATCCATGAGATGCCTAATGACATGCTTGGGTTGCCCCCTGAACAAAATTGTGGAATATGTTTTGTGAGCCCCCAAGAGTAATAATTAGCCAACTTTGCCCCCAAGATACCTGTCCACACCAATATCCCACATTTTCTATGAGACACTGGTGTTTTCTTTTTAGGAAACTCAAAGGACCCGTCTGGACAGACTAGGTCACCCACGTTACAGAAAGCTGAACAACCAGAAAAAGAAAAAGAAAACATTTTTAAAAGCTGTATAAAGTWTGAGTGTTTGATCTGCCTCTTCAGGATGAAGCTACCTTAAAGACCAGAAGAGTCTTTGTTTATAACAAGTGAAGTTTTGTAATCGTGGCAACTAATTTAAGAGGATCACAAGGCAACAGTAACGTCTCACTTGCCGAGTGACCAAAAATGCATTCTCTGGAACAAATTAAGACTCATCAAGGTCATGTTCTGTCCTTTCTAGGAGCTGCCTTGCGTTCACAGAGAATGTGGCTCTGGTGGCCCAGCTCCTCAATATCATATTAAACTATTGTCGTGCATTTCCTTGCAGAGGACACTGGACCCAGCATCCCTGATCAGCCCTTGGAGGTGTGCAATGTGAACGGATCTCAGAGGCTTGGCACAGCTTGAATCCTCCTCCAGCCCTGACAGCATCATGGCTGGCTGCAGCTGTGTCATGTCATCTGCTCTACAGGACCCAGGACAGCCCAGCAGAAACTAGCTGAAAGGTAGCTGGGCAGGATGGAGGAGGAAAAACAGAAAGCACACACTGCTCGTGAACTTGTACACGGATATAATACACACGACTTCACGAAGCCCGTTGTCATGTTTCACAGCAGGCCTGCCTTGGGGGTCGAGCTGACGTCGGCGAGTGGTGATACAGTCTACCAAGGAAGAGTCATCCCTGCCTCCTCTGCTGCATTTCTAGAGCTTCTGAACACTTCTGTTATAAAGGAGCCTGTTATATTGTTGACCTGACCATCTCCCAATCAAACCAGGACTCTGGGAGGATTAGGATGGCCTTTTATTGTCTTGTCATTTACACAAAGCTTGGACGTGGTGAATGCCCTGCTGAATTAAATGGGACTGGATGGATTGAGAGGGATTGGACGAATGAAATGAGATTAGGTGGTTGTGTTGGATTAGAGTAAAACGGAGTCTCTGAATCCACTGGTTGGTGCACGGTGTCAGTAAATGACCTTGGGTAGAACGTGGCATAAGGTTGAACTAGCCTGGACGGGACCTTGGATTTGGATCGCCAGGGTGCCAGGAGTGGGAGCCAGCAGATACAACTGACTGCAGAAACAGACACAAAAGATTTCAGGTGTTTGGATGATCAGAGAGAGTGTGTATAGGCCAGACACACAGGAGAGAACTCGTGGAATCCATGGGTCAGTGATGATACTTACAGGTGAGAAAATTGAGGCCCAGGTAGAAGAAATGAGTGGTCCCACGTCATACAGAGTCATCATCCAGTCCGCTATGACTTGGATGTGGTTTGACCTGCAGCAGTTCCCATGGAACCTTGGCCCCCTGTGTCCTGCAGTGAGGAGGGGGTGGACCCTCAACAAGSGAGGCCTAGTGAGGAGTGGTCACTGGGCAGGCTACGCTCAGAAAAAAAACCAAGCACCCTGGTTATTTCTCAAGAGAGGGCTGTTACACAAGAGCAAAGCTGGCCCCTCCCCAGTCTCCCTATCTCCATGTGACCTCTCCCTCTCAATGCACTCCTGCCAGGATGTCATCCCCGTGATGTAATGCAGCCAGAGGGGATCTCCCCAGAGTTGGCACCAAGCTATTTGGACTTTCAAATGATTTACTGAACTATTGAATTATTTTTGCTTTCTACTGACCTTCACAGTCAAGACTGACACCTTTCCAAACTGTCTTCTTTTCTTCACTAACTTATCATGAAATTCCCCTTTAATATGTTTGTTTTTCTCACCTGTTCCTCGTGCCTCTATTCCTCCCCACTTCTTGTCTTTTGATGCATTTGAAGCGACACTTCACTCCTAAGAATTTCAGCACACAAACTACTAACTGAGTCAATATTTGTTTACAGTTCTCTTTTTGGAGGATATAATCTAAACACCATGAAATACACATATTTTAGGTTTATCAATGTGTAAGTTTCAAACTATCAAGACAGTGGTCATTAACAGGACCCCAGAAAGTTTTCTTATGTCCCTTGTTCAGAGCCACTGCCTGCCGCAGCTCCAGCTGAGGCATCAATTTTTCTGATTATTTTCCTTACTCGAGTAGCTTGGCATGCTCTGTTTGTATAAATATAATCACATCATTTGTGCTCTTCTGAGTGAGGCTTCTTTCCCTTGGTCTAATGTTTTCGGATTTCGTCATGCTGTTGTGTGTATCTGGACTGCGCTCCTTTTTGCTGCTGGCTAGTATTCTGTTGTGTACATATACCACAACCCGTTTATCCGTTCTGTGTTGATGAACATTTGGGCTGTTTCCAGTCTAGGGCTATTATAAATAAGGCTTCTGTGAACATTACCATATAAGTAATTTTGGGGACATTTTGTTTTTCTTGGACAAAGACCTCAAAAGTAGAGTTGCTGGACCACAGGGTAGGGTGATGTTTAGTTTGCTAAGAAACTGCCAGACCATCTTCCAGAGGGGCTCACAGTTTCGTTCTCCCACCAACATTGTATGGGAATCTTGTTTTCTCTTCCCCTTCACTCACTGAAGATCTACCCCTTTAGGATCTGGTCTTTATATGGGGTTTTCTATTTTACTTGCACTTTAGGTGGGCACAAGACTTCATCTCCTTCTTCTGTGCCCTGAGTATCAATCAAAACATAGGCTCCATCCTCAAAATTGAGAAAATGCCCTTCAGGTAAAATGCCCTTCAGTTTTAGCCACCCAAAGACTCCTAGAGCTAATAAACAAATTTGGCGAAGTAGCAGGTTACACAATCAACACATGAAAATCAATAGCTTTCTTATACACCAACAGTGAATCTGCCGAGAAAGAAATCAGGAAAACAATTCCATTCTCAAAATCTTCAAAAAACATAAAATACCTAGGAATAAATCTAACCAAGGAGGTGAAAGACCCCCACAATGAAATCTATAGAATATTGAAGAAAGAAATTAAAGAAGACACTAGAAAATAGAAATACCTCCCCTGTTCATAGACAGGCAGCATTAATATTGTTAAAATGGCCACACTACCAAAAGCAATATACAGATTCAATGCAATCCCCATCCAAATACCACTGACATTCTTCACAGAACTAGAAAAAACAGTCCCAAAATTCATTTGGAAGAATGAAAGACGCAGAATAGCCAAAGCAATTTTAAGCCAAAGAAACAATACTGGGGGCATCACGATATCTGACTTCAAAACATCCCACAGAGCAATAGTAACAAAAACTGCATGGTACTGCATAAAAACAGACACATAGACCAAGGGTACAGAATAGAAGTCACAGAGACAAACCCATGGAGATACCATCATCTGATCCTTGATTGACAAAAGGTGCCAAAAACATTCACTGGAGAAAAGACAGATTTTATATATATAATACATGATGCTGGGGAAACTGGTTATCCACTTGTAGAAAAATAAAACTAGACCCTTATCTCACACCCTGCACAAAAGTCAACTCAAAATGGATCAAAGACCTCAGAATTTGACCAGAAACTACAATTCCTAGGAAAAAATAACACTCCAGCTTTTAGCCACAGGCAACAACTTTCTCAATAGGACCTTAAAGTTTAGAAAATAATATTAAGAGTTATAAATGTGACAGTATCAAATTAAAAGCCTTCTGCACAGCAAAGGAAACAATTAGGGATGTGAAGAGAGAACCCACAGAATGGGAGAAAATCTTTGGTAGCTTCTCTTCTGACAGAGAATTAATATCTAAAACATATAAAGATCTCAAAAAACTTTGCACTAAAAATCAAATAATCCAATTATTTAATGGGCAAATGAATTAAACAGACACTTYTCAAAAGAAGAATTATAAATAGCCAACAATTATATGAAAAAAAAAAATGTTCAACATCACTGGCAATTAGGGAAATGCAAATCAAAACTACACTGAGATTTTATCTCACACCAGTCAGAATGGCAGTCATCAAGAATGCAAATGATAACAAATGCTGGAGAGAATGTGGAGAAAAATTCACACCTTTATACCTTTGGAGGGATTGCAAATCAGTGCAATCGGTGTGGAAATCAGTATAGGAATTTCTCAAAAGGCTAGACACAGAACCACCATATGACCCACTCCTCGGTATTTATGCTGAAGAATTAAAGTCTGGGCTTGGAAAAGAAAAGACAGAAGCCCTGGTCTGGGGCAGCTCACCTGTCTCCTGTGAGACAATGGTGCCGTCACAAAGCTGGAAGAGATGCTCCAACTTGGATCCAGCCCAAAGTCTTACAGAAGAGACAGTGGAGGTGGGGGAGTGGGGACGACGCGGCAAGGCAGGTTGGGATCCAACCTGAATCTCCTCCTGGGAACGATCTGACACAGGTCCACCTGTGCAGAGAAGGCGACTCAGGGCCATGAAGAGCAATGAGCGCTTGGAGCATTGGTGTGCGGCCAGAAAAAGAAACACTGCATCAAAACCAAGAATGCAGGTGAAGTGACTGAGGCCCAGGTAGCCTTAAAGAGTTGTTTAGATTCTTCCCACCCCGGTTTCCTGGCTTAAGGAACAGGAAGAGAACGGCTGCCCTGTGGGTGCCCTGCGGGTGCTGTGGGGATTAGGATGTCTGCCAAACGCCCCATCAGATGGGGATAGCTCTTGCCAATCACATAAAGCCCAACTGATAGTATGGTAAGCAAAGAAGAGGTTATTTTCTCATGTTGAAAATGTGGAGAGAAGAGGCTTCTGACATCAGTCGGGTGACCTGTGTCACCCAGCGTTTCTTGGCCTTTATGTTAGAAGCCTCGTGGTGGCCAAAGAGCTACAGCTGTCACGTCGGCGTGCGAGGCAGAAGTGAGGGGAAAGACCCTGCCAAGCACATCTATCCCTGTGATGGGGACAGCAAGGTCACCTAGCAGAATTCTGCTGTTTCATGGGCCCTGTGCCATTATATCATCACCCTCGGCTAGACAAAATGCTCCTGAAAGTGAAATGTCTGCCTTCAAAACTGTCATGGGGACGGCAGGGAAACAGAACTAAGAGGAGCATCCGACCAACAGGACCTGCCACAAGAGCCTCATCTAAAAAGAGGGTTAACAAAGGGCAGGTTTGGGAGTTTTGAATAAGCCTTTGAAGTTTGCCAGGAACCGACCTGGTCACCTTCACCTCTGGGCCCTTCAGCAACAAACCTTACAAAGAGACCACAAGAAAGCGGTGACTGGCTTCTGGGGGCGTTTTGTGGCTTCATTTCTTTATTTCTTTTTCACCTCTGGTGGATTTTTCTGAGATCGCCCTGGGATTATGGGATTCGGTGATGTGGGTGATGAACACCATTATTTTGACACCAACCTTCAAAGTCCAGATCCAAAGATTAAGCTGGTCCTTGCCGATGTCTTGGGGGGCACCAGAATCAGGAGGCACCACAGCTTTGTAGGTTCAAACAGCAATTCTTTATTCCCGATCTCACACCAGCCTCCACACACGTTCAGGGGCAATTCCAATATGTCCGATCCCAAWCCCAAATCCTACTCCACGAGGCTTTCTTCAAGTCCCATTTTAATCTCACGAGAACTCAACGGGAACAAGCAGCAGGAACACCCTAATCCCAGCATCAATAATCTTCAACCTCAACTTCCCTAAAACTCCTATTGTCACGCCCTAAACCCAAGGACRGAGATACTTCCTGTAGGAATACACCCTAATCCTGGATCCACCCTGGTGATTGAGCAGGGTCACCTTTCTCAAACACACAAGCAAGGACGCAGCAAATTTCCAAGGCAAGTCCATTTAACATGGGGTACACTGGCAAGGATTATGATGCGTCATACCTACTTGGTAATGGCCCTCAGCATCTCCCCCCTTCTGATTAATTAAACAACAAGCAAGGACGCAGCAAATTTCCAAGTCAAGTCCATTTAACATGGGGTACACTGGCAAGGATCACGATGCGTCATACCTACTTGGTAATGGCCCTCAGCATCTCCCCCCTTCTGATTAATTAAACAACAAGCAATGTGGCTTAGAACTTCCAAGTCAAGTCCATTTAACATGGGGTACACTGGCAAGGATCACGATGCGTCATACCTACTTGGTAATGGCCCTCAGCAGGTCCTTGTGCCTGTCTTTCCTGCCTTGGATCTGGAGCTCAAGGAGGTTGGATGAGCCTCTAACACGAACTCACGATTGTGAAAGGATGGAAATGTAAGCGAAAGCACAAAGATTCCCTGTGCCCCATATCATCCTTAACAGCCCCAAATAAAATGACTGGAATCCAAAGCAATTCAATTCATTTCATTGGCAAAGGTATTTTAAGGACCCATCTCTTTCTATTTTTCTCCTGTCTTGGTAAAGCTATGAATTATGTTGCAAGCATTGAACATCTTGAAATAGTTACTAAGACAACGTATCAAACGAAGAATTAATAGGATTTTTAAAAATTCTCCTGTGTGAGCATACAAATATCTTGGTCTTGTGCTTCTTGTTTTTCCCGGGCACTG